TCAATGATGGATCCTTTTCCGAGCACCGAAAAAAGGCAGACTGCCACACACACACGCACAAGGTGAATGAATTCACTCAGGAGTGACTAATAAAAGCAATTCAAATGTAAAAACAGGTAGCTATAAAATACCATGTGGTTCGATGCAGGCGACCAGTGAAGGGGGGGTCCGGTCAAAACAAACAAATACAAAATTGACCAAAACCAAAAAAAAGTTTAATATCCACAACAACAAAAACTTTCCCCTTTCTGCAAGTTTGCAGTAAAGAGTATGCAGATTAATTTACCTTTTTAATTATACGGTAAATGAATGAATAACTAAAAGCCTACTGTAAGTGTCCTTTCATTCTGTTTGCTTTGTATCACTTTAGTGTGCAGACGCTTGTGTAAAGGTTGTTTTTTGTATAGATCTTGGTAAAAACAAATGCTTATGTTGAAATTAAGATATTTTATATCCAATCTGACAAAATCTGCCTTGTCTGCCACACCGAGCCTGCACCAGTGTGCTTTAATAAGCTGGCCTCAGTGCAAGAATGAGTTTATTGCTTTTGATCTCCTTACGTGAGAGGACCGCGGGTTAATGGCTGCTCTGTGCTCATGTGAAAATATCCAAGGGAGGATAAAACGTGAGATCCCGAGAGATAGTGTGAAAGAGTGCACTAACCCATGTAAACTATATGCATAAACACCCTGGGGGATCTGCATAAATGCAATTTCAGATTTTCAAAGGTGAATAAACAGCATTTATATGCATTTACCCTCCACCTCACCGCTGCATGGATTTCTGAACCAGCGTTTTTAAAGCTTGGATCTGAGGTCACTGTTTGCCACCGCCACTTGGTCACTGGAACCATAAAGTTCTTTAATAAATCTGTTAATGTAGCAACTCATGCATGAGTTCCACGTGACCTCGTGGTCTCTTCTTGCGACTGTAACAGAATAAGCCAGGGATCCAGAACACAATCCCAAAACGGTGCTGTGCTGTTCGATGTTTTGGGGGCCAAAGTGGGAGCTGGAGCTCGTGTGACGCCTAAAATGATGAAAAAGAACATTCTGCCACAACAATCCATTACACTGCAAACAGCTGCGCCACTACGACTAACTTTTCCTGAGCACTGCACACATTCAAAAAACGACTGGATTTATCACAATTTGAACAGTTTCACACCCCGATTGAGCTTCTCCCCACACAAAGGTGCAGTCAAGTGACTCACCACGAGTGAGTCACCAAAATACCAAAAGGGCAAAGAGGAGAACTAACCGCGTGTCACTTTAGCTGGAGCACAGTCACGCCCAACTATGTGCTGTGGACAAAAACGTACTCGTGGAGGTGAAGTAATTCCTAAAGGCCCAGCACTAAATTTGATGGTTAAAAGCAACATACTGAACCCAACACAACCATCACTTCAATTCCTCACATATTTCGGATGTGCAAAATACTAGGTGTGCACCTGCTGAATGCAGCATCAGAATACAGGCAAGTCCTGCATTTTGTTAAATATCCATTACATTTTTATCTTTATCCTTTCCAGTCTACCTTAAAATAAATGGATTAAAAAAGCCTGTAAGCCACCCTTCAATAATAAACGTGTAGGTATTGTTATCTGTCTAAGGGTTGGTTAAATGTATTAGTTGTTATATAAGACCAAGTAAAACCACACACAAGAACAATACAGGCAGAATCATAAAGATTTCACTGGGAAGACATTCGGAGCCACATCACTGTACCGTAACGCTCCAATAATTGGAAATGACAAACCTGCCTCAGCTGTTTGCTAATGCAGCTGATGTGCAGCGATACATCATTGGGATGCTGTTGTTGCGTTGTTTTTTATTGAGAACGCTGAAGTGGTCTGATGTGACAGTGTGAGTGAAGATCCTGGGAGACAATGGACTCGCTCAAGGTCATGCCTGACGAGGACATTATGTGCAAAGCCTATCTGACTGTCTGAGAAGGGGTGGGAGGAGGCACAGAGGGGAATGAATACAGTATGTGGTTCCTGTACTCTCCTCCTGCGTCTTTTCCTTCCTCTCCTCTGTAATAAGCATGCTGAGTGGGCCACTCTAAGAGGCATATTGCTATATATTTCAGATTACTTAATGGTCTCCACTTATTGGCAATGTACAGTATATGCGGGTTGCTGCATTTGCACAGTATGCTCCCGCTCTTTCACTGTGCACATGGGTTTTTGGCATTTGGATCAGCATGGGAACAGCCTGCACTAAACAAAATAATTCTATGCCAGCAGGCTCTGCAGGTGGTGTATGTCCTTCTGCCCTCTGGAGAGTTACGAGCGGGGATGGAGCGAAGGCAGAATGCGGATCCTCTGGTGTCCTTTTGATGGCATCTTTATTACCTATTTGTGGCTTTGGATCGAGAGCTCAAGGAAACTGGCAGGGAAGAGTAGGGTGTGTGTCTGCTTTTGTATCTTAATGTGCGTGTGTGTATGTGTGAGTGTGTATGTGTGTGTAGGGTGGAAAGGGGGAGAGAGAACAAAGAGGTCAAAACAGTTGGTGGAACCAGAGACGGTATAGAGAAAAGCAAAGGTTAAGCAAAGACGAATTGGACATGACGAGTAGAAAGCAGCTAGAAAGAAAGCGGAAGAGAGTTTGAGAAGGAATGGGGCACTTGGGAGGAGGGGCATCTGATTAAATGGGTATCTCCTCTCCCAGGGGACAGGCTGTCAGAGCGACTCTGTGACATTTGTTGTGCCACCTTTCCACTGTGACCTTACATTAAGCCAAGGGGAAACAAGAGACAAGCACACTGGCTTGTCATCAATATCACATCTGACACCATCTTGCTCTCTCCCTCTCAAGCAGACACATGCCAACCCATCAGTCCATGCTGAGCACTTGTTGAGAGTCGCGTGGAGGCAGTATGCTCTGAATTTCGAATTCAAGGGAAGAATTTGAAGGACAAGCTAATGACCTATGTGTCTAATTATGACCAAAAAAATTAATTTCATTGCATGTTTGTCTGAGGTTTATCAAAAAGCCTTTTAGCACCAGTCCTCCTGCTTGCAAAGAACTACATTTTCAACTGTTTCTCACATTGGCATATTCTGTTTAGTGACCCTGTAGTTTGCCGATAATTTGTCAACCCTCCCATATTCTCGACTGCACGATCGAGTCATTTGACATTTTGTAAGCTCTCTTTCCCCAAGAAATGTTCCTTGTTCGAATTGTGTGAATTGTAATGCCATGATCTAAGGGGACCATTATTGTACATCCCCATGCAGGAAAAATAATCACATATAGGACACAAGCAGTCTACCTACTGAAATGTCCGTGTGGATTTTACTGTGGGGAAGACGAAAAACGGAATTGAGGATGAGGATTTCTGCGAATAAATGCAGCACCAAAAAATAGGGATGAGAGGTCTCCTGTAGGCGGACACTTTAATTCTGCTGGCCTTGGAGTTTGTAGCCTACAGTTCATGGGTATTCAGGCTTTAAGTTCATTGTTGGGGGAATAAGGGAGAGGACACTTCTGCAAAAGACGCCTATTAGATATGCAACTCAGACATACTTATCTGGTTGTTGCAAGAACAGAATATGATATATGTTTTATTATTACTTAATTGTTCCTGTTGCTGTTTTTCTTACTAGCATTTATAAATATACATACGAAATTAACCATGAGTCAGCAACTGCATGGCCTATTTCACAAATTTACTCTGAACATGGACCTAAACCGATAACTAATTTCACAAGCTCGTCTGTGACAGATTTGACATTTCCGAAATAGCTGCCATGTTATTTAAAAAAAGAAAAGAAAATCATTGTAAAGGCCAGTGACACCCCAGTGAATGATGCATTTATATTGATGTCTGAGTGAAGGGAACTGCACAACCTACTTGAAATAATGTCCGTCTCAAGCAAATGGCCATTAGGAAATGCTGTCCCATGCCCGGGTCTGTAAAGATCAATCTGGCTGACCTAAACATTTCTCACACCTGTTAAACACCTGTGGTCATCATAGACAGGATGGATAAATCAATGCGATTTCAATACAGTATTCATATTTATGAAGAAAATCTTTTCTACACTGCAATTTCATTTGGAATTTTTTTCCCAATGTAGGAAAATGTATCAATTCTTGCCAAAGAGTAATGAGATGGTTACCACCTCCTACGGTTTCAAACATCTCTCCCTCACACAGACAACTCCCACATTGTCCATCCTTTATCACCCTTTGTTCATGTGAAACAAAAAAAAAAAAGGACCTCCAAATGATGAATTCCCAAGTAACCGGCCTCAACTGTCCTCCCTCTGTGTGATTGTCACCATCGTTTACCCCGGCCATATTTTCTCACTTTGCTAATTTACCCGCAAGGTGAGAGGATGCTGGGAAGCTCCTATAGCCTCCTGGCTCCAGATGTCTGGACCAGATGTCCCATTATTGTCCTGTGATTTTAATTTTGTGTCTGTTTCCAGCTCTTTGCACCTTAACTAACCCTTGCTCCTCCCCCCACACACACACACACACGCTTGGACACATGCATACGTATGCAAAACACCGACCAAAACATCCTTTGAGATTAGCCCCATGTTTAGGATTTCTCAAAACATCTCCTAATTAAAAGTGAACAAATAAGAAGTCTGTAAACGGTCTTGACCAACTAAATTCCACAATATGTTCTTATACAAACTCTAGTGTTAGTCTTAGAGAATGTAAATGAGTCTACCACTTATACCCTGAACACCCTATTAGATTGATGATGACCTGACACAGTGTCCATGGCATGGCCAGCTTTTGTTGTTGCTATGCAGCACACAATAAATCAACCTGGTTGACCACAAAGGCTGGAGCAGAGAGTAAGACTTGTGGTCAAGGTTAATCAATAGTTACGATTACAATTTATATTCATGTGTATATATA